TGGGCTCTTAAGTAAGCCGCATGCAAAAATGAGCTCATTTTTGCATGCGGACCTCTTAAGAGGCCCCTATGGAAATATTAATTTTCCCATACAGGTGTCTTAAAGAGTCGTATGTGAAAATAAAGATCAATTTTTGCAGACGCTGTCACTTACGGTCCGTCTGCAACCTAAAGGGGTCCTTGTACAGAAAATTCTTTTTTTAGTAGTGAGATTATTCAAAATAACAACGAGGATAAACTGTGTTGGAAGCATACTTCTAATGGCACATGCAACACAAAAAGTGCATACAAGGAGATCATTAAAAAGGGGAGAAACTGTGTTGGAAGCATACTTCTAATGGCATATGCAACACAAAAAGTGCATACAAGGTGCATACAAGGAGATCATTAAAAAGGGGGAGAATCAAAATCTGCAGCAGGTAAGTGCTCAAACTACTTACGTAATCAAGAAAATTTAGAAGGATGAACTCACCCTTCCAAAGGTCAACGTCTTTGCTTGGAGACTTATCAGAGAGGCCCTTCCAACAGCTCAATGGCTAAATCTCTTAGAATTTCTGATATTTTGGCTGCTGCTTGTTGTAGACGTGGTCAACCTGAAACTGATTTCCACCTTCTCTTTGGTTGTCCCTGTAGTAAATTAACCTGGAGAATTTCTGAAGCTAATCTATCTGTTGGCAACTTTTTGTGACAAGTCGAAGCACGATCGCAGCACCAAAACGCCTTGTGGTGATATGGAGTCGCCAACTACCTCGATCTAGCCAAACGGCCAAATCAAGATGGGTTTTGTAGAAAAATAGCTAAACCGGCAAGCGGAGCCGATTTAGATATCAAAATCAGCCTCTAGGCCGATTTAGATCTATATGATGAGAACTATCCGTCTCGTGGGCAAAACAGAAGGTTTTCAGGACAAACCTACAAATAGGTGTCGCACTCTCGCAGCGGCAGCGGACGATTTACGGCGCAAATCGACAAAAATGGACTACAACTAGAGTAAAGTAGAAAACGTGATTCAAGTAGATTGTGTGTTCGGGGTATTACAATTGAACCGGCCTTGTCCCTTAAATAGGGGTTGGTCTTGCCCTCTATAGGCCCTTCTCCACGTCCAACTCGGGATAGAAACCAAAGGAATCCCGAAACATGCTTTCCCGAGCAAGGAAACCCGAGACCCGACGAAAACAGACTCAGACTCGGACCCTGACAGTCTGACCGGCCATATACCTACAGTCAGACCGGAGTTCAGGCCGCGGTCAGACCGCCTACATACTTGCGGTCTGACCGGCTCTGTGAAGGAAACCCGGCACTTTCCAAACTTTGGCAATTTTCCCCTATTTTGTCGATAGATGCCAAATTTGGATGTAAACACTATCTACTGACATCTTTACTGATAATTTCCCTCTGGCTCATATTATTGCTTATATTGCCTCTAATAGCTCACATCAGTTGGGTTTAAATAGAACTCTCATCTTAATGTGGCAGATGTGGAAAGCCAGGAATGACTTGAAATTTCAGGGAAAGCTGAAAGAGCCAACTAAAGTTTGTTTTGTATCTGAAGCTATGGCAAATACATACACCATTTTCTCTGCTCATAAGTCTTTGCAGGATGATCATCAGGATATGGAGCAAGAAAGAAGAATAAAAAACATTCCCAATGGAAACAGATGCTATGTGGATGCTGCATGGGAAAATGGCTTCACCGGCACAGGAATCTTGTTTCACATGTTGTCTTCACATAATGCTCTTTTCATGCTTTGTGGCTCATTCATCTTTGCAAGCCGAACTGGTGGGTTTGCAACTGACAATGCACTACTACAATAGCTATTTTTCCGTGCGGTTGTTTTGATTTTGGCGTGCGGTTGTTTTGCCCGTCTGGAACATTGCGTCTGGGAAAATCGTGATTTTCTTGTGCAGGTGGCGCAACCGCACGTGAAAAATCCGATTTTCGCGTGCGGCTGCTTATGCGAAAATAAAAATCCAAAAAAAAATAAATTTTCAAAAAAACAAACCCTAACCCTAGATCTAGATCCGGCACCCCACCGCCGTGCCGGCCACCACCGCCGCCGGATCCGGGCGGGGGACTGCCGCCGCCGCCAGATCCGGGCGGGGGGCAGTCGCCGCCACCGGATCTGGGCGCGGGGAGGGCGGCGCTGCTCCCAGCCCTGCCGGCCACCGCCTCCTCCCGCTCCCGGCACACGTCGTCGGCCCGCTCCCGGCCGCCGCCTTGCCGCCGGTGTCGTCGCGCGCACGCCAATTCAGGCCACCACCTCGTCGTCGTCGTCGGCCGCGTGCACGCTGCTCCGAGCCGCCGCCTCGCCGTCGTCGTCATCGTCGTCGGCCGTGTGCACGCTGCTCCCGGCCGCTACCTCGCCATTGTCGTCGTCGTCGGCCGCGCGCACGCTGCTCCCAGCCGCCTCCCCACGTCCGCCCGCCGCTGCCGTGAGCCCGCCGCGAGCCCTCTGCGCCCGCTAGCCACCGTCGACCCCTCCGCCGAGAGCCGCCCGGAGGAGAGGAGGAGAAGGTGAGAGAGAGAGAGGAAAATGAGAGAAGAGGAAACTGAGAAGATAAGGGGGAGGGAGAGAGGAGAGAGGTGGGCGGGGGGAGAGAGAAGAAAAGTCCAATTTTTTTTGAATAGGATGGGAGGGAAGTGCTATTTTCCTATGCGGTTAGATTAGGAGGCCCGCATGTGAAAATAGAGCTTTTTTTGTGTGCGGCCGTGTTAAGTGACCCACACACGAAAATCAATGTGGGCGACGCTCCCCCTATTTTTCCGTACGGTCCAACGACCGTATGGAAACAAAATAGGGTGGCGTCCAGAAAAGTCAATCATGTAGTAGTGATGGAGGTGGCCAATTTTCTAAACTTTACAGGGATTACCTTTCTCACAAACGATGCAACAATTACTGACAGTGCCAAGGATGATTTTGATACAGGTCATTGGAGTCTTAGGGGCTGTTTGGATGCTTGCTTCAGTTTACCAAAGTTCTATAGCTAAGGTGTGGCATGCCACAATTTATGTGGCTAAGAAATTCTTGACCACAAGTTAGGTAAATGTTGGCAAAGGTATGTGCCTATGACAAGTAGGGTCACAAAATTAAAAAGTGTGGCATGATAAAGATGTGGCAATCAAGCAAACACTAGGCTAAATTGGTCAAAGTAGCTTGCCAAAGTTGTGGCAAAGTATGGTCACCATCCAATCAACCCCTTAGACTTCTTTGAAGCCAAATTAAGAGTGTGATCCCAGAAAATCCTATGCATGTGGTTTGGATCTCAAGAAAAATCAACAGTGTAGCTGATAAAATGGCCTAATAAGCTACTTCCTCCGTTTCATATCATAAGACTTTCTAGCATTGCCAATATTTATATATATGTTAATGAATCTAGATATATGTGTGTCTAAATTCATTAACATCTATATGAATGTAGGCAATGCTAGAAAGTCTTATAATATGAATTGGAGGGAGTAGAACTCAGCATAACACTGATCCTTCTCAACTGTAACATCTCGCACATTGCATCTCGCACATTGCTTATCCTAATAGAGATTGTCATGCTAGAAATCTTCAAAATGATTTCGTTTCGGTGAACTATACTATTAACTATGTACTACCTCTGAAATTACTATTAACTATGTACTACCTCCATTTCAGGTTATAAGATTTTCTAGCATTGCCCATATTCATATATATGTTAATGAATCTAGAAATATATATATGTGCCTAGATTCATTAACATTTATATGAATGTGGGCAATACTAGAAAATCTTATAATATGAAACGGAGGAAGTACTATGTTTCTTAAAAAAAAAGGGGAGAGACGTGAGAGGTGGTTGAACATAGCTTATAGCTATGTTCCCAACCCCTCTCCCGCATTTTCCGCGCGCACGCTTTTCAAACTGCTAAACGGTGTGTTTTTTGTAGCAAAAAAAAGTTTCTATACGAAATTTGCTTAAAAAATCAAATTAATCTATTTTTGAAAAATAATTTAGCTAATATCGCTCCGTTTTCCGTGTGGGAGGGTAAGGTTCCCAACCATGCCCAGCAAACACAGGCATAGACCTCTAGAGCGCGGCGGACGACCCCATCCACGTGGTAGGTTCCATATATTGCCTTAACACCCTCAGAATGTTGGGATTCAAAAGATTAAAAAGAGGTGCCGCCACACATGATTTTTTATCTAACAAGGAGAACTTTTACCTCTAAGAACTTTTATCTAATACCGGCCTAATTACGGTGTAAAAGCACAAGAGAACTTTTGAAGACCGCATTTTCGCCATTGTAGATATATCACCTCTATATTTTTACCACGTGTCATTTAACCATTGGGAGCCATTTAAACTGCCTGCAAACAACTTTTGCCTCTTGTATACAATGATATGGGACCATACTGCAAACAGCAACCGTCTACTATGTACATGCCACCCCTAACAACTTATCCCTAAACCGAACAGAATCCTATCATATAACTACAAGAATTTATTTAATCTATGACGAAAAAATTCGTCATGGATCACTGAAAATTCGTCACAGGAATTTTCCCATGACAATTATACTTATCGTCATCTATTGAGCGTCAAAGATTAAATTTGCTGACGTTTTCTCCGAAATCGTCACAGATCAGCACAATCTATGATGTTTTTTAACCGTCATAAAATGCTTATGGGCTCGTGTAGTCCAGCCCAGGCCCAACCTTTGTGACGAAATTAAACGTCATGGATGGTTGCCATGTGGCGGCTAACATGGCAGTTGACGTGGTCGTTTGGACACGTGTGCGATGACATGTCACTGATGACGTGGCAGCTGACGTGGTTGTTTTGACACATGTGCGATAACGTGTCACTGATGACGTGGCAGCTGACATCAGCAATTGTTTTATACGGCCCGTTATTTTTTTGACGGCCCATTAATTTTTAAACAGCCCATTAATTTTTTTAACTGGCCTATTTTAAAATAGGCCCATTTCAGAACTAGCCTATTTTGTCAACCAACTATCAGATCAAAGCCCACTAAACAGACCCATTAAATTTGAGCCCACCAAATTCAATCCAATTTATCATACAATCTCAGATTCAAACCAACACATCTCAACAAACATCCAATACAACACAAAATTTACAACACAGTTAACAGCCAAATCTAGTCACAATCCAAATACAATCACAGTAACCAAAATTTCACCGGATGTCGCATGACCAAGATCTTCCAAGTGAGCTTAGCAGCACTGCATATGCACAAGATAAAACATCAATAACTGCCATATCATCCTAGTTTCTTCTACTGTTCAAGCACTTAATAGATGAATAAAAAATATTCATGCAGTTACTGATGTCACGGACATGCTGCAATGTCAGGATCGGGAGGAGCTGTCTCCCTCTGTATGTTATCTCCACCTGCACTTCGCACATTTCTGAAATTTTCAGTTCATCTCAGTTCAGCATTTTGTAACAAAGAAACTAAGCATGCTCAGAGATCAGGCAAAACAATATATATATATTTACCCCTTTTCACTGTGGAAATAATGGTTTTCACGCATGAGGGAGAGGCACCCTCAAATTTCCTTACTAAAGTAACAGTTATAGGTGAAAAAAACAACCCTACTTCCGATCCTGCTACCAAATAAATAGCCCAGTTCTTTCGTGAACTCTGAAAAGATATTGAAATGCTTTTGCACTTGTACAGTGGAAAAATTGGTAAACAAAAAGAACTGCCAGCCCTGGTTTCTTCCTATTATCCCTTAATTTAAAAGGAAAAGACTGACATCATGCTCACAAATTTCCAAAAATTGGGTATAAACTGAGGCATCTTAAACTGCAATGCAACTGCTTAGCATAGTATAACATGAGAAAGCACAGCCAAAAGTTTGCTAGATAGCCAAAAAAACCACTTCACATGTTAGGAAGAAACATGCCACTACAGTTTTGACATTCCTGAGCACCACATATGGTGGCAACCAATCCTTTTTACATGAATAAGATAAAAGGAGTCATCAGATTTGACATTCATAATAGGATTTCACTTATTACTTTCTAAAAAAAGGTGACCATAGGACTCATAGGAACTCACCAAAAGTGACCATGGGAAGGATGAAAGTTGAAGCAAACTCAGCAATTCGCACAGGAAAAACAGCCTCATTTCAATTTGGAGCACATCCAAAACCTCTACACAGCACACCAATACATCTCTAGTTGCATCTGTAGCCCATCTACCGCAGCAAGAACAGCAACAATCACGAGGGGGAAGGAAGATTAGGGAAGCGAGTAGGGTGGATATACCTTGATGTAGATGTTCTCTGTTTACTGATAGTTTGCTATTACTGTTTGTTAAAAGGAAAAGGAAAGATGGCTAGTCCTGTTTTTGTAGAATATTTTTGCAGCATGCACATGTTTAATTGCTAATTGCAAATTGCAGTACATAAAAAAGTGGTAATCTTTTATTTCAGGTGGATATGATCCAGATATATATGGACTATTGGAGATTAGTACTTTTGATTTCATCTTACTGTTAACATTTATATATTTCATATTTTCTGAAAGTACGTTGAAGTAGAGTTTACCATTCGATATATAGGAATTGTGAAAACTGCTCAAGTGATGGATAAATAAAACACTACATAATGCAAGTCTCTTGTTCAAAAGATCATGTCTTACAGCTATATGATATTATATTGGTTTCTCATTCTGCTTGCAGGTCAGATGATAATTCATTGAGGTTGATTGCCATAGATTGATAATTCTACAGGTTAGGAGTAGTACTTATAACGTATAGATGCAATTCAGTTTCAACAGTCATGAAGTGTTGATGAATTATGAAGAGCTCAAGCAATACATCTCTAGTTGCATCTGTAGCCCATCTATCGCAGCAAGAACAGCAACAATCACGAGGGGGAAGGAAGATTAGGGAAGCGAGTAGGGTGGATATACCTTGATGTAGATGTTCTCGGCAGCCTTTTCCTCCTCGCCGAGCACCTTGCCGCCGGAGGAGAGGAGCCGCCACAGTGTGAGCCACGCCGCCAGCCTCGCCTGAACCCCCTCGCATTGACTCCCTTGCCTGAACCCCCTCGCATTGACTCCCTTCCGCCGCCGTACCAGGTCACCGCCACCTCCACCGACCCCATCCACGCCGGCCCGCCTCCGCGGCTCCGCCACCGCCTCGCTGCCGGCCTGCCCGACGGGCCCTCCGTCTCTGGCGCGCCGCTGTCCTCCGCCTCTGCGACGGCGCCACCAGATCCGCCGGAGCAGGCTGTCACTGTGCCCGCCGCCCGCCGCCGAGAGCCGAGCTCCTTCCTAGGGCGGCGGATCCGGCCTTCCCTAGGACGGCGCCGCCAAATCCACCGCCGCAGGTCGTTGCCGCCGCGCCTCCTTGCTGCCACCGCCGCTCCCGCTAGAGTTGGGACGCCGGCGAGATTGCCGAAGAGGGGGGGGACGGAGGAGCGGCGAGAGGAGCGGAGGGGGAGGCGGAAGGGGCGGCGAGATCCGAGGGGGCTGTGGATGGTGGGCGAAGGGAGGAGGACGATGACGACGGCGTGGTAGGCGGCGGTGTGAGGGTGGGGAAAGAGAAGGTGAAGAATGGATGGCTAGGGTTTGGATATATGTATAAGAAGCTATGTTGATGCGATTTTACCAGAATAACCCTGGTATCTGGAAACCTATTATACAAGTTACTTGGACAAAATGGTCATTTAACGTGGAAATTTCAAAATTTTGAAACTTCAAATCGAATTTTATCATAATAAATGAACTTATGTGAAAAAGTTGTTTGAAACAAAGTTGTATAACTTACTGAGATCTACCAATTTTATTTTGGTTATTTCTCCATCTGAGTTTCATTGGCCTATATAAAATTTGAATTTCAAATTATGACAACTTCAAACAATATTTTCAAAAACTAAATGATCTCAAATGAAAAGTTCATCAACAACAAAATTGTATAACTCATCAATATCTATAACTTTTATTTTGGTCATTTTTCTATATGACTTTGTTTCAACGGTTTGAATTTGAATTTCAAATTATGACAACTTCAAACAAAATTTACAAATACTAAATGATTTCAACTCAAAAAGTCATCAATAACAAAGTTGTATAACTCATCAATATATATAACTTTTATTTTGATCATTTCTTCATCCGACGAAGTAATTTGTAACATTGTTCACAAAATCTACATATCTCTCTTATTTTTTATAAACGTATAAGAGATATGTACATTTTGTGAACAATGTTACAAATCACTTCGACGAATGAAGAAATGACCCAAATAAAAGTTATAGATCCTGATGAGTTATACAACATTGTTGTTGATGACTTTTTCAGTTAAAATCATCTAGTACTTGTAAATGTTGTTTGAAGCTGTCATAATTTGAAATTCAAATTTAAACTGTTTAAACAAAGTCGTATAGAAAAATAGCCAAAACAAAAGTTATAGATATTGATGAGTACTACAACTTTGTTGTTGATGACTTTTTCAGTTGAAATCATCTAGTACTTGTAAATATTGTTTGAAGCTGTCATAATTTGAAATTCAAATTCAAACTATTTAAACAAAGTCATATAGAAAAATGGCCAAAACAAAAGTTGTATATATTGGTGAGTTATACAACTTTGTTGATGACCTTTTTAGTTAAAATCATTTAGTATTTAAAAATGTTATTTAAAGTTGTCATAATTTAAAATTCAAATTTTATATAGGTCAATCAAACTCAGATGGAGAAATAACCAAAATAAAATAGGAAGATCTCAATAAGTTATACAACTTTGTTTTTGACAACTTTTTTACATAAGTTCATTTAGTATGATAAAATTCGATTCGAAGGTTTAATGTTTTGAAATTAATTGAAGGACGGAGACAAAATAGACTTATTGGCGAGGGAGGAGCAAAAGGCCTGTTACGGGCCAGCCCTTTTGCTCATCCCTTGCCGAGAAGTCCATTTTACCTTCCTCCTTTCATTTAAATTCAAAATATTAAACCTTCGAAATTTTAGCATACTAAATGAACATATGTGAAAAACTTGTCAAAAACAAAGTTGTATAACTTATTGAGATCTACCAATTTTATTTTGGTTATTTCTCCATCTGAGTTTAATTGACCTATATAAAATTTGAATTTCAAATTATGACAAATTTCAAACAACATTTTCAAATACTAAATAATTTTAACTAAAAAAGTCATCAACAACAAAGTTGTATAAATAATAAATATATACAACTTTTGTTTTGGTCATTTTGCTATATGACTCTGTTTCAATAATTTGAATTGAACCTTGCTATACACACGAAGAAATCTATACGAAATTCGTACGAAAACTACCTGCTTACGTGATTTCCATGGCTAGAACACTAGAAGCCCACACAAGATCACAGGCCTACAACACTCTAGATTATTCAATAAGAAAAGCCCATATCAAATTGACAGGTTCAATATCATGCTACTCATTCAGACTTCAGAGCTTCGTTTGAGTGGAGATGCAGAAAGCAAGGATAGAATAAATTCAATCAGTTCTAAAAAAAATCAATTCAATCAAGCATATGAGCTAGGTGGCGGCTATATGTCTAGGCCTTACCGCCTCAGCTGCCGCCACAATCAGGGTTTACGATTCCGACAGGCCCTTCTATTTCGGGCACTGGCGGAATTTGGAATTTCGCGAAATCCGGTGGAAAACCGGTAAATTCCGAACAAATTTCATAAACCAAAATTTGAATGCAAATTCCCTGAGTTTGTTGACAAGTTCTCGAAAACCTGTCGGTTTTAGCGAAATTCTGATCAAAATTTCGATCTGTAACCTGTAATTTGGACCAACTACTAACTGGGCCTAGTACATGCAATTCGGGCCATGTAAGTGTTTTCTTTTTTTTAATTCTTTATTCTTTTCTTTCCTGGTGTAAGTTTTAGTAAATACACACAATACATCATTTTTTTTAGAATATTTATATCCCAATATGTTCTATGAATATCATAGTATTTATAAGATTTTATTTGTTTTTTTCTTTTTTTTATCAATTCAAATTTGAATTTGGATGAAACTCCTCGAAATCTCATACGGTTTCTACTTTCGAGCCTCGTCGGAATGTCGAAATTTCGCGAAATCCGACCGGACTTTGTTGGAATCGTAAACCCTGGCCACAATACGAGCAGTATTGCTTTGCTTCCTGCATAATAGGTACGATCTACCATGCCCACACTAATAATAAAGGCAAATTTTGTCTACAGGACACTGTAATTTCGTGGTTTTAGCCGTAGGACACTGCCCGAACTCACTTTTGGAGGAAAACACTCTATAAACATGGTAATTTGGCAATAGACATCGTGCTGATTAAAATAATAATTTTTGGTTGAAGAGGAGAGAGAAATGGCATGAAAGTTCTAAAATACCCTTGGGCCCATATGTCATATCTTCCATCTCTTATCTCTATCCCCGCTGCGCCGCCGCCTCGATCGAGGACCTCAGCGCTGACGTCTTCCAGGAACAGCTTGGGCATCACCGCGCTGCCCACCCTGAACGACGACGACCCATCCTCCTTCCTGACGTCGGCAAAGCTCACCATGACCATGAGCTTGGTCGCCCGGCCATGGCCGAGCAGGAGCAGCACGGGGTAGAGGCTGTACAGCAGCAGCAGCAGAAGTCCGCGGAAGAGTCCCCCGACCTCCAGCGCGACGAGTATGAAGTACGGGAAGGTCGACGGCAACATGAGCTGGCCGCCCTCCACCTTGCACACCGTCACGTCCGCCGCCGCCGCCGGCAGCTCGTAAACGACGACGGCCGCCTGACGACGCGTGGCGGCGGAGACGGAAGATGAGCATGGAGGACCGCTGCTCGCCGACGACACACGGCTGCCGCTGCTCGCCGACTACGCGCTGCTGCAGGGCGCCGTCATCGACTATGCGGCAGCGCCGGCGACGATGGCCTCCTGACGACGTGTTGTGGCGGTGGAGGAGGATGTGCATGGAGGACCGCTGCTCGCCGACGACACGTGGCTGCCGCTACTCGCCAACTACGCGCTGCTGCAGGGCGCCGTCATCAACGCCGCCGCGGCGCCGGCGATGACGACAGCCTGACAACGTGTGGTGGTGGGCTGGCGGCGGAGGAGGATGGGCATGGAGGACCGCTGCTCGCCGACGACACACGGATGCCGCTGCTCGTCGCGCTGCTGCAGGGCGCCGTAGTGGACGCTGCTGCAGCGCTAGTGTCCGCGGAGTGGAGCGCCGGGAGCAGATTCACCGGCATCTCCACTGACCCGGCCACCGCCACGGCATCGGCCATGGAAGTGTGGGAGGTGAGGATAGAGAGATGGAAGTATAGTTGGCCATATGGCCCGAGGCCCGATGGCCCGGCCCAAGCACGGCACGGCCCGGTAGCAGTCGGGCCCGTGCCGGCCCGGCACGACTATTGGGCCGTGCCTGGGCCTATGGCTGGGCACGGTGGGCCGGCCCGGCACGGCACGGACCGAGGTCGGCACGATGGGCCGGCCCGGCACGGCACGGCCCAACGGTCGGCACGACCACGGCCCGTACCAACGGTAGGCACGAGCACGGCCCAGCCCAACAGACAGCCAGGCCGCACCGCGTGCGCCCGCATATATAAGCCAGCGAACGCCGCGTCGCCGCCCCTCCCCTCCCCAGTCCCCTCTCGCCTCTCGCTCTCCGCCTCTCCGCCTAACCCTAACCCTAGCCGCCACCGCTCAACCGCCTCCGCCGATCCGCCTCCGACGCTCCACCGCCCACCAGATCTCGTCCTCCACCGTCCGCCGCTCACTCGCTCAGGGCCTCAGGCGCGCACCGGTGAGACTCACCGAGTCGCCTCCCTTCCACTCTTCCAGATCCAGCCTTCCTCTTCGTCTCCGATCGATGCCTCGCCTGACTCGCATGAGGGGCGCATGAGGATGGGGGCCACCGGCCACGCATGGTCGCCTGAGTCATCGTCCTTCCACTCTTCCAAATCCAGCCTTCCTCTTCGTCTCTTTCCCGTTTGTTCTTCTTCGCCAGATCCCTTGGTCTTCTCGTAGATCCGTGAGCCTATCGTCTTCAACGGCAACTCCGGTGCTCCGGCTGCGCAGGTACAAGCATGGAACCATTGTTTTTATTTTTTTTTTCTCCATTTCCGACCCTAACCTTGAGTGTTGTTGGCTGCTTGCAGGTCACAAGCCCGTTGCTTAGCGGCAGCCGCCGTTGAGGGACCAGAGTGCCTGCGATGGATGACGATCCTACCTCTGTCAACTACGAGTTGAGGACTATGGGGATGCGCGGTGATGACGATGATGATGTGGAGGAGGATCGTGTGGAGGTGTTCGGCAATACCTCCGACATCCCGATCCATGTGAATGTCGATGACGACGACCCGCCGGTCGACGACAGTGGCAATGGGACGTCGACTGGCTCTAGTGCGACTTGTACCAACAAGAAGACCAAAACCTCCAAGGTATGGGATGACTTTGAGGAACTTTATGAAACGACCAATGGTAATAGGGTTCGAGTCTCTACTAAATGCAATTACTGTCATAAAACTTTGAGTGCTCGTTCTTCTGCTGGCACTGGACATTTGCTTAGGCATATTAAGTCATGCAAACCTAGAAAGCTTGGGTCTAATGCTTTGCCTCAGTCCATGCTTAGATTTAGTGCAAATGGTTCTGTTATTCCATGGGAATATAGTCCTGAAGATGCTAGGTTTGAATTGTGTAGATTGATTGCTAGAGAGGATCTTCCAATCAGTTTTGGTCAATCTCCTGCTTTTGTGAACTATATTAAGGCTGCTCATAACCCTAGATTTGTTCCTGTCTCTAGACAAACTACTACCAGAGATTTTTATAAGTTGTTTAAGGATCGTCGTTCTGTTATTATTGATCGTCTCAATTCTGCTAGCTCTATTGCTTTGACATCTGATATATGGTCTGGTCATGCTAAGGAAGATTATTTGAGTGTTGTAGCTCACTTTGTTAATTCTGATTGGCAATTAGAAAAGAGGGTCTTGGGTCTTAGGCTTATTGATGAGTCACATACTGGTGCTAATATTGCTGAGCGTGTGATTGCTGTTGCTGAAGAATATGGTATTACTGATAAGGTTTTCTCTATTACATTAGACAATGCTTCTGCTAATTCTAAAGCTATGATCACCCTTACTCCTGCTCTGTCTGGTTATATTGGTGATTTATTTTTGCATCAACGCTGGGCATGTCATATCATCAATTTGATTGTTAAGGCTGGACTTGACAAGTTCAAGCCCATGCTAAATGACATTAGAGCTGCCATTTCATTCTTGAATGCATCTAATCAGCGCATTGCTACATATAAAAATGTTTGCATTGCTGCGGGTTATCGTCCTCGTATGTTTGGTTTGGACATGGATGTTAGATGGAATTCAACTTATCTAATGCTTAAGCATCTCATACCACATAGGGAACCATTCACAGTATTTATTAGTACACAACATCCTTTTGTTAATGACCATCCATTACTCACAGACTTACATTGGACATGTGCTGAATCTGTTTTGTGTTTCCTTGAACAATTTTATGATTCAACTGTTGTTTTGTCTGGTGTTTATTATCCAACATCTCCATTAATCATGCATCACATTTTAGAGATTGCTGGACATCTAAACACATATGGCAATGTTCAAAACATCGCAAATGTTGTTGGTCCCATGAAAACTAAGTTTATGAACTATTGGTCTAAAATTCCAATTCTTTATTCATTTGCATTTATCTTGGACCCTAGGGCCAAGATTAGGGGGTTTAGTAAAGTGCTTCAGATTATGGCTCAACTCATTGGTGATGATTATTCTGCTTATTTAACAACTGTTAGAGCTTCATTGTTTGATACTTTTGCTAAGTATGAAAGAAAGTTTGGTTCTGTTAGATTGCATAGTTCCACTATTCCAGGCCCTTCCACTGGTAAGAAAAGGACTGCATGGGGGAAGATTTTTGGTTCTGTTGTTGCTGCTGGGCTTGGTGCTGGTAATGCAGGTGCCAGTCCAGGTGCTGGTAATGCTGGTGCCAGTCCAGGTGCTGGGCTTGGTGCTGGTAATGCTGGTGCCAGTCCAGGTGCTGGGCTTGGTGTTGGTTCATTATCCAGGATGACATCTGCTACTGCTTTGCTTCAGGCAGCTTCTTCAACTGCTAATCTCAATTCTTCTGAACTGTCTGCATATCTTGACAGTGACACTGTCAACCAATATGATGATGACTTCAATATCCTTAGTTGGTGGCAACAGCACAAACTAACTTATCCTGTTCTTTCAATCTTAGCTAAAGATGTTATGACTGTTCCTGTTTCTACTATATCGTCCGAGTCTACTTTTAGCTTAACTGGCAGGATCATCGAGGACCGTCGGCGGCGTCTAAACCCTAGGCTGGTGGAAATTCTGGCAGTGATCAAGGACTGGGAGCTAGCAGATGCAAAAAGTCAGCATACTACTGAGAATGTGGAGCTTCAAAATGCTTATGAGAATATGTATCTTGATGATGAAATTGATGTAAACCCTTGAACTGGATGATTGTAATTGATATGAACATTTTAGCTATGGGCTGTACTCTTTTCCTTTCTAGGGTTTTCTCACGAGGTGTGAGTTTTTACCTAGAAAGGTTTTTAATGAGGCAGCCATTGCACAATCACAGCTTATATAAACCCCTTTTATATTCTAACTTTCTAAGGTTTGTGATTCTGAGATGGACTTGATGGAAAATAGTAGATGACTTGATGTATGCATTTGATGAATTGATTTGAACTGATTGTAAATCTGTGAGACTGTGACTTGATGAATTGGTGACTTGAAGAATTGTTCATTTGTTTGTAAATCTGTGCTTGTAAATCTGTGACTTGATGTATGCATGATTTGATAAACTGGTGACTTGATGAATTGTTTGTGATTCTTTGACTTATTTGATGAATTACATGTGAATTTCATGAATTTGATGTGTTATGTCAATTTGTTGTGTTGAATTGAACCTTTGAAGGGGTTTTTTGCCAGGGCGTGCCTGGGCCGGCACGGGCACGATGGGCTTGCCGGGCCGTCGGGCCAGCCCGGCACGGCCCGAGGCTACTTGGGCCGTGCCTGGGCCGTGGTTGTAGCCCGTGGGCTGGCACGGCACGGCACAGCTTGTTCGTCGGGCCGTGCCGGCCCGACTGACCTCGGCCCAGGCCCGGTCGTGCCTGGGCCGTGCCGTGCCGGGCGGCCCATATGGCCAACTATAGATGGAAGATATGACATGTGGGCCCAAGGGTATTTTAGAACTTTCACGTGATTTCTCTCCCCTCTTTAACCGGAAAATATTATTTTAATCGGTACGGTGTCTATTGACAAATTACCATGTTTATGGAGTGTTTTTCCCTAAAATTGAGTTCGGGCAGTGTCCTACAGCTAAAACCATGAAATTGCAGTGTCCTGCAGCAAAATTTGCCAATAATAAATCATACATTGATGCACCGATGTATTTGTTTGATATGCTAGCTGATTACTTCGATGCTGCAAAGGACAATATATATTAGTTGTGTGGTAGTCGATAGTGATATGAGCATGCAGTAGTAATTCCTCAATATGATTTGAACACGATTTGCTTGTTTATAGTTTAATCATATGCAACCTGTGTATAGATTTTCGTAGCACACGGTTTTACAGACAAGTAGAGATATAACTCTTGCTTTTTCGTTTGCACCATACGTGGGCCTGTATTTGTTACGGGCTTAGGTACTTGCAAGATGATTATAGAGCATACAAGCCGAAAAGACAGGTTGCATGTGCTCTTCGTACATGTTTCGTAACAAAAAGTTTCGTAAGTGTAGACTTTTCCATTTGAATTTGAATATCAAATTATGATAACTTCAAACAACATTTACAAGTACTAAATGATTTTAACTGAAAAGTTCATTAACATCAAAGTTGTATAACTTATCAAGATCTATAATTTTTATTTGGGTCATTTCTTCATCCGACAAAACGATTTATAACAATATTCACAAAATATACATATGTCTTATATAGTTTATAAACTATAAGATAGATATGTTAATTTTGTGAACAATGTTACTATCCCTTTACTAAATGAAGAAATAACCAAAATAAAAGTTATAGATATTGATGAGTTATACAACTTTGATGTTGATG